AAAAAAAAAAAGTAGAGATAGGAGTTTTGCTATGTTGTCCAGACTGGTCTTGAACTCCTGGCTTCAAACAATCCACCTGCCTCAGTCTCCTAAAAGTGCTGGGATTATAGGCATGAGCCACCACAACAGGCCAAGAATCTAATATTTTATTAAATGTTTTCAATTTTTACAAGGAGCCCCATAAATTGTTTATTACATGTGATGCTGGAATGGCACTGAATGTTCATGTAGGGTGTGCGACCCCGGCTGTGGGACCCCAACCCACGGAGGCAGACGCTCAATAGACTCGAGGCAGGACGTGTGGTGACCGGTACCGACTTTATTGGGACCTCCGGGCGACTCAAGCGGGAAGGGAAGAATCGCGCGCACTTCTTTGTTCGGTCGGTTTTATAGGGGCAGAGGGTCTGAGGCGGTGGGAGAGCAGTGGCGAGGGGTGATGATTGGTTAGGTGGTTGCTAGGCAGAAGGGGCTGGAGTTCCTTCAGTCGGGGGCATGGTGCCGAGTCACGTAGGGAAGTTAAGCTCCTTCCATGTGGCTGGGGGGGGCGGGGGATGAGGCCAGAGAGCCCTCTACCAGACATAGGGAAATTGAGCATAATCACCATAGCATTATATGTGAAAAAGTTAGATTTCATTCTCTATAGCTATTTTAAAAACAAAGTGAATTACCCTTAGTGAAAGTTCCAAATTTTCTCCTCCCCAAAAATCCATATCCTTGTCATACTGTCCAATTTCATTAAAATAATGCCGACGTATAGCAAAAATTCCTCCAGCCATTGCAGGTGACCTAGAAAGGGGACATAAAAATTAATTTCACAGAGAAAGTCATTCTGTATTTTCCTCAAAATTATATTGAATTAGTAATAACTTATAGTTAAAAGTTAATACTAAAATTATCTTATTATACATTTAAGTATATAAAATTGCAGGTGGGTGTTGAACAATGAGAACACATGGACACAGGGAGGGGAGCATCACACACTGAGATCTGTGGGGGGGTGACTAGAGGAGGGTCAGTTGTGGGGTGGGGAGTTGGGGAGGGATAACATGGGGAGTAATGCCAGATATCGGTGATAGGGATGGAAGCAGCAAACCACGCTGCCATGTATGTACCAATGCAAAAATCCTGCATGTTCTTTACATGTACACCAGAACCTAAAATGCAGTAAAAAAAAAAAATATATATATATATACACATATATATATATGTGTGTGTGTGTATATATATATATATATATATATATAAAGTATCTAAAATTGCTAAAAACTACAACTACCAAAAGTAGGCAATAACTTTTACTTAGCTCTCATTAAAATATGTATGCGATACAGTCTAAAGGTTTCTTAAGAAGAAGAAAAATGATGTTTGGAATTTGAGTTTCCCATAAGGATGGCAATTGAGCTGGGCAGCAGAGTTCAAAGCTCTCCCTTTCTAAAGACATTAGGTGAATTGTAATATTTACTTCTGGACAAACCATAATGTTGTGAAGCATCTTGCTCTGTCCACCTGTAGTTGGGCCAAATAATGCAAAACCAAGTAGTTTGAAAATAGTCACATCTGGACGCAGTGGCTCACGCCTGTAATGCCAACACTTTGGGAGGTCAAAGTGGGAGAATCACTTGAGGTCAGGAGTTCGAGACCAGCTTGGCCAACATGATAAAACCCCATCTCTACTAAAAATACAAAAATTAACCAGATGTGGCTGCTCACGCCTGTAATTCCAGCTACTTGGGATGCTGAGACACGAGAATTGCTTGAACCTGGGAGGTGGAAGCTGCAGTGAGCTGAGATCACGCCACCGGACTCCAGCGTGGGCAACAGAGTGAGAATCTGTCTCAAAAAAAAAAAAAAAAAAAAAAAACAAAGAAAAGAAAATAATCACAAGTTCATTCATTTGTTCAAAAAAGTGTCTATTGAGTACCTATGTTTCAGGGATATGAGTCACTCAACACACAAAGCAAGACCCGTGTGTGGGGGAAAGGATAGGGAGAGCATTAGAGGGGCTGCAGTGGTCCCAGAGAAAAATAATGGAATCCTGGATGAGAATGCAGCAATGTAGGCAGTAAGATGTGGTTGAATTCCTCGTATATTTTGGTGACGGAGCTAACAGATTTGCTTATGGGGGTGGTGTGGGGTGTTGGAGGAAGAGAAGCATCGTTTTCGGCCTGCACACCAGACAGACGGAATTGCCATGCACTGAGATGAGAAATCCCACGGGTGGAGAGGTTTTTGGCAGGAAGATTCTCTTTGGGGCACATTTGAGATGTCTATTCGGCATTCTGGTGGGGATGTGAAGCAGGTAGTTGGATGCAGTTGGATACATGAGTCTGGTGTTCTGGGAGAGGTCAGGGCTGGAGGCGTCCTTTGGGAGTCATGGATAAGGTGGATGAGAGTCACATGGAGTGAATGGAGAAGCATAGAGGACCAGCCCTGAGCCCCGGGTGCTTCCACACTGAGAGCTGGAGAGGAGGAGAGGAACCGGCAAAGGAGATGGGAAAGAGCAACCAGGGAGGGAGAGAAGGACCAGGAACTCTGGTTCCCTGGAGGCCAGGGAGGCATGTGTGGCCAGCAGCATCCAACGGCTGAATCAGCGAGTAAGGACTGGAACAGAACACTGGACGGAGCCACGAGAAGGTCATGAGCAAGTCTGAATCGTGAATGCGGGGCGAAGCCTGATGGAAGTGAGTTTAAGGGAACTGGAGATAGTGAGAGACATCTCTTTCTAAGGCTCTAATACAAAAGTGAGGAAAGGGGAAGTCACTGACAGGAAGTGGGATCAAAATAAGGTGTTTAATTTTGTAATTGGCAGAGATCACAGCATGACTGTATTCTGATAGGGATGTTTGTATCTGGTTCACTGGGCAGGGTGCGTCATGCCCGGTGCACTGGGTAATGTGCATTCTATCTGGCACTGGGACACTAGAAGGAGACTGATTCCAGGCAGCCCAGAAAGCCTGGTAGGAAATGATCCCTCCCCAGCCATAGCACTGTCCCGATAGTCTGTTTTTACCTGCCTGACCTCTTCTCTAGACTATACACATTTGAGGACTGGGATCATGCATCCTAGCAATACAATGCCCACCACATGATAGGTAATCAGTAAATACCCATTCAATTTACAAACCAAGTAATTTCACAAAACAATTTTTTAAGTTATGCCATTAGGTACCATTGAAAATAGGGTGAAAACATGTGGCTCAGAGGATTCAAGTTATACCTTCTTTTCAAGGGAGAAAGTGTTCACTCTAAAAATCTTGAAATCACTGTGTGTGTGTGAACTGACAGCCACTGGAGACAGAAAGGTGGGGGATGGGAGGGCAGCGGATGATGAGAGATCACTGAATGGGTACAGTGTACATTGTTTGAGTGGTGGATACCTGAAAAGTCCAGACTTCACCACCGGGCAATATGGCCATGGAACAAAATTGCACTTGTACCCCCTATATTATACAAATAAATCAATAAAATAATACAATAAAATTTATCTTTTCTTTCAACCTTTAAAAATTTTTTTCTTTTTTCTTTTTTTCTTTTTTTTTTTGAGACGGAGTTTCGCTCTTCTTGCCCAGGCTGGAGTGCAATGGTGCGATCTCGGCTCACCGCAACCTCCACCTCCTGGGTTCAGGCAATTCTCCTGCCTCAGCCTCCTGAGTAGCTGGGATTACA